AAGTTGGTTGTTCATTTTGTTTTGCTGTGAGCTCTACGGTCGGGAATGGCCTGCCGTCCCTTCAAGAAAGCGTTGAGAGGTAAGATCAAACATTCAACAGTAGAAAGTGGTATCTGGTGGTTGCAAATTGAAGTAAGGAATTTGTTTAGTTAATGTTGTGAAAAACAATAAAATTGATTCTTTCATACATGAACAGTGCGAACCTCTCCGAAAGAGAGGTGATCCTTTTTTGTGCGATCCTTTTTTAGTCACTCAAAACTGTTACAAACAATCACGTTAAAGGAGAAGCGAGCATCAGTGGAGTACAAATGACTAGACCTCACTTCTCTGCTACCACTTTGTAAGAACTTGTTATGATGCATGGGCCCCTACTTGATTAAGGCAGTATGCTTCATTTGCATTCACTACTAACTACAGAGAAGTAGCGGACATGGAGTCCTGTGGGGACATCCTTCGCGATAGGATGCATAATCAGGTACTTTTAGGTTCGCTAGGATACCACTCTAGCTGGCATCTTGCAGAAATGGTTCACAGCACGAGGCCTAAAATCGCTCTCTGATGCAACAGGATGGCAAGTTGACTCGGTAACTTGGAACTGGCTTACTGATCCTCTGGAGACTATCCTATCAAATAAAAAGCTCTGTTCAGCTAGCTAGATTAATAGCTGTGCTGCTTTTGTTCCTCCTTACAAGAAGCAGCAATTGGCTAGTGTGCAACACAATACTTGTTATCATTCCCATGCTCCTCACATTCGAGTTCCCCGATGAGAAACCTCCAGCAGAGAATATGAGAATCTACTGGTTTGTTCCTTCTGGTGTTTCTAATATTTATCTGCCCGCATCTACTCTTTTCAGGATTTCCGCCTTCGTAATGACGGCTTTCGATCGAATGCTGGAGGCTTTTCCATTCTATTATGTCGTGAAGCTGTCCACTCTTCTCTTCCTACTAGTTGAACCGTCGTTCTTGAACGATAATCTTAGAAAACTACTAACAGTTGCGGTAAGGAGATATTGTATTTCTAACTAATTTGTTGACAAAGTTAGGAAGGAAAACTCGATTTCTCAAGTAAGGAGGGTTAAACCGGTTGGTGCTTCTCCTGTTGTGCATATTTTACATGAAGTTGCAAAAGACCTGTGCCAAAAGACTAGCACTATAGAAATCTTGCATAAGTAACTTTCATAACAAATGATAAAGACAGCAAAAAATCGTATTTGGAGAGAAAAGGAAGCAGAAATTACGTAGTGGATTACAAGTCACTATGTAAATATGTAGTAGAAGGATTAAATTGTACAACTGTGTATGCTTCCCAAAAATTACAGAAAAATCCTTTGAATTATAATGGAATTTCGAAAATACAATGTCACTAAGCCGTAACACTACACAGCCAAATGGCTGCAACGTTTAAACGTTACTTTTCATTGCAGGCCCTAAGGACATAAGGCAGAGAATTCGTGCATCTGCAAAATTAATTGATATAACAAGAATTGTGCCGTGAACCATCTCCTGCAAATTGAAGAGCCCTTCGCTACATGCCAATCACGCCCTGAGTTGACCAAATGCCTTTCCTCATGACGGAAAAAAGTGGCTGATACTCTTAATGACTAATAGCTTCAACCCATGGCTTGATGTTCTTGGTATTGAATTAAGGCGGTATAGACGCAGGCGACATTTTCCTTACCTCAAGAATGATCTACAAACGAATGATTTTTAGCAACAATCACCGTACAGAATTGGGACATATCACTGGATGCGCCAAAAGACTAATTTCAAGCCTACCTCCCTTATTTGCTCAATGATTTTTTTGAAGGAAGCTATAAATCCTCCTTTCGCTATATATTGCCTACACAACCTACTGATCATTTTGAAAACTTGATTCGCCTAAAGGGTCGTCAAAATCACTCGATGTTTGATACAGAAGCTTTTCTTGGTTGTAGGCCATAGTAGAGTTAACAAGTGAACTTTTGCGTAGTTTGTTTACAACCTTTTGAGCATTCAGCAAGGATGGCACATTGCGCAGGCCAGTTTTGCGGCAAAAAAACTTCCTCAAATTCTTGAAGGTAAGGAAGGCAGGTTTGAAAACAGCGTATACGGGGCATCGGTCCCATATTTGGAACGATTGAGGTCAATAACCGTCTCTCAATAATTATAATGCTAGCGGCAGCGGCATACATAATAATATAATATATGCAATCTAAGTGCTACCGCTTCTAGAAGCTACAGCTTTCAAATTTTTGGTAAACTTTCCGATTCTAGACAGTAATTATCATCTTTAGTGACTTTTCCATGTTGAAAAACCAAAAAAA